GCCAATTCCCTCAGGACTCTGGGATGCATCTCATCAGGTCCCATGGACTTATGTGCATTCAGGTTCCTCAGGTGGTCACAAACCTGATCTTCTCTTAACAGCGGGAGGGGTTTTACCCTCCTGGTCCCCTTCATGCCATCCATCAAGTTGGGAGGGGTGATGAGAGAGTTGCCATTGAAGACTGAGGCAAAAAAGTTGTTGAGTACCTCAGCCTTCTCCTCATCTGCTGTTACCAGCTTGCCAGTCTCGCTCATCAGCAGGGGTACGCTTTCTTTAACCATCCTTTTCTGGCTGACATACCTGTAGAAACCCTTCTTATTATTCTTCACATCCCTAGCCAAGTTTAGTTCCAGTTGCGCCTTGGCCTTCCTGACCCCGTCCCTACACAACCAGGCAGCGTCCCTCTATTCTTCCCAGGATGACTGCCCCTGCTTCCACTGCCTGTGCAGTTCCCTCTTCCTCCTTAGTTTGACCAGCATCTCTCGTCTCAGCCATGCCAGTCTCTTCCCTTCTTTGCCCAATTTTTTACACCTAGGGATTGAGAGCTCTTGCGCTGTCTGGATCACATCCTTAAAGATCTGCCAGCTCTGTTCTTTTCCCCTGTCCCTCAGGACCGTTTCCCAGGGAGTCCTTCTGACTATCTCCTTGAAGAGCTGGAATTTTGCTTTCCTAAAATTCAGGGTCCTGACTGTACTCTTCATTATTCCCATTTCCCTCAGGAGCATGAGCTCCGCCAGCATGTGGTCACTGCGGCCCAGGCTGCCTCTGATTTTGACGTCTCCGACAAGCTCACTTGCGTTGCTGACCAGGTCCAGTATTGCATCCCCTCAGGTAGGCATGTCTGTTACCTGGCTTAAGAAGTTGTCAGTGCATTTGAGGAACCTGCTGGATTGCCTACAGCTTGCCGTGTTGCTTTTCCAGCAGATGTCAGGGTGGTTGAAGTCCCCCAGTAGGACGAGAGCCTGCAAGTGCGAAGCCTCTCGGAGTTGGAGGAAGAAGGCTTCGTCAGTCAGTTCCTCTTGATCTGGTGGCCTGTAGTAGACACCAACCACAGTGTTCCCTTTGTTGCCTCTCTCTCTGATTCTTACCCATAAGCTTTTGACCTGCTCGTGGCTATTCTTCAGGGGCAGCTCTTCACACTGTAATGATTTCTTGATGTAGAGGGCAACGCCTCCGCCCCTCCTTCCTCACCTGTCTCTTCTGAACAGCCTGTAGCCATCGATAGCTACGTTCCAGTCATGGGATTCATCCCACCAAGTTTCCATAATGGCAATCAGGAATAGACCTGTCCTATATTTTGTGAGTCTGGTATCATCTGAAGCCCAGCTGGGTTGTCATTGCTACTGCCTGTTTCTAGAACGCTGCTATCGCTGTTCTTCCCTGGTACCCAGTCACTGTTTTATTCCCCCACCCCACACCCTTAGCTTTTCATCGCCCTTAATTAAGGTGCAGAGATATCTGAGAGTGGTAGAAGAGCAAGAGCCAAATGATTGCCTGGGGAGCAAGAGGGACGATTGCTGCCAAGAATCCACCCAGGCCTGCAGCAGCTCCTTCTTGCTGGGTATGGGCATGCTGGAGCCAGGCTGAGGGAGGGTGCCCAGGCCTTGGGCAAGGCAAAACGCAGCAAGGCAGGAGCACTCTCTACAGAGCAACTGCCCAATTTTTATATTTACACAGCGTTGCTGTGAATACACAATACCATCACCTTGGGCTTGTGTTACAGCTCACAGAGTTTCTTCTTCTACAGTTGAGGTGTTCAATATCATTATGATAGTCATGGGGTTTGTACCTTTGATTTACTCTCAAGGAGGTGTTGATTTTTAACACATCAGTTGTACCCATGCACTGTAGGATTAACTTGTGGAAGCAGTATGCATATACAGGCATACACATTGAGCTTTGGTTATCAGACAAGTACAAACATCCTCTAGTACTTATCTGTACCATCTGCCTTCTGAATTAATTCTATCCCACCCAATCCTAATGGCTTATTATTCATTATCTCCCCCTCCAATCTGCCTATGTGTTGAAGTCACACTGCTTTCAACTGCTAAAATACTGACTGCGCTGACTCGCTTTGCTTCAAAACTTTTACTCCTCTGTTTTACACCCTCTTAGATTTCTTCTACACAGTCACACCCTAACGCTAAATCAACACCATCATTTCTAGGCTTGAGCTGCTGCTTTATCATACTGAAGTCCTTCAGGGGGCCACCCCAGCAGATAAACGGTGAAGACCTGTCCCAGAAGAGTGCCAAAAGCCAATCTGAGCTGCCTATCATCTATCTTATACTGACATCACTGGATGAATTTCAAGCTTTTTTGCATTTGCTGGATATTTTCTGATTTAGTAAGTGGTTTGTAGCTGTGGGGAACTGGAATTACTGCAAAACGAAATAACTGCAAGAGAAAGATAATCTAACCCCTAATTCCCCAACTGATTTGATCTCCCATTTTAAATCCACAATCACAGCCACATTTTGCCCTCCAAGCTCTGCCTTCACTGTGAGAACCAAGGGCGGAGGCTGAGCAGGAGGCCAGGGCTCTAGCCCCCACCTCGGGCATCATCAGCAGTTAGAAAGCAGGAGAGGAAGGTTGGGCCCCTCACCAGCACCAGAGGGAGTAGGCAGAGCACATGGAGGTCCTGAGGTGCCCCCAGCATTGCTGCCACCGGCACCCTGCTCCCCCCACCTCGACTGCCCCCACTGCCCAGCCAGCAGAGACCACCACCACCATTTCCACCACCCTTCTGCACCAGCACCACTTCCGTGGCTGTGCAAGGCTGCCCTGGCACCACCAGTCTCACCAGCTGGAGCCATCACTGGGAACACCTGGTCTGGAGCCAGCACATGCTGTCCCACACCTCCCCACCCCACAGCACAGCGTAAGCCACATCCTGCTGGAAGCTGCAGACTGGGCTGCTCCGCAGCATCGCCCTGACCCTTTCCCTGCTGGCACCTTCTCTGCAGAACGCTGCTCCTCTCCCCATCCTTTCTCAGGGAACTGAGGGGAAAATCCACTCCATTTCCCATCTCTTTTCTCCTCATCGCATGCTTTTGCCCTTGGTATTCAGGACTTGATGACCTTAAAGGCCTTTTCCAACCGAAACGATTCTGTGGCTTCTGCACCTTATGCCTTCCTGTAGGTTTCTGTCGCACACACCCTCCCGTGTGGGCAGTGGGAGAGAGGATGGGAGGGAAGACCCAGATGCCTCCTGTAGCGTCCCCTTCCCTGTGGCTGGTGGCTTTGGTTCCTTTTTCTACCAGTGCAGTTACCAAACCCTTCCTGCCCCTCGCCCATTTCAATGAAGCTGAGCTTTGGCTTTCAGCCTCTGGTAACATCTGCCCCCCTCGCCCCCCGGGGCAGCCGACCCCCACACCCACTTCCCGTGAACTCCCTTTCCCCATCTGAGCACAGGCAGGGGTTCCCCCATCGGACAAGCCAGCTTCTGCCTTACCTGCCTCAATATTTAGAATATTGGAATTTGTCCAGCTTGTCTGACACCTTACACATTAGTCAAGGTAAAAAACTTCATTTGGGTTGAAAAAAATCTTTGTTCACATAACACATCACATGAATCACATAGTGTGTGCCCCCTTGCCCCTTTACATATAAAATACTGGTAAAAAGTTGGGGTTTTTTTCCAGAGGCAAGTTAATTTCCACAGTGTCCTCCCATGAGAGAGTTCATCCGACCGCTGGAATGCTTGCTGTGCCACAGAAGTTCGGATGCAAATGAGCTCCATTGAAGGAGATGGAAACTCCTCCAGTATGAAAGGAAACTTCACAGAGAGCTGCAGCAGCAGCGCATAAAGCCATCAGGATTTCAGCTCTGTCTCGTTTCATGTTAGCAAGGATCTTGATCCTACCTGTGCTCCTCCCACAGCACACAGTAATGACAGAGGCTCACACTCACCATCTGCATAGCACAATGCTCCGGTAAATCATTTTGGACTTACATAGTACAAATTTGTTTGAAGTTGCACATCATCAAATCCAGTTATCCAAGTGGCTCCTTCAAGCCCCGTTTAGATACAGCAAATAGCAAGGACACTTCGCTTACAAAAGGGAAGTTGGCCTACATGAGGAGGCTGTGAAAGACGGAGAAATGTGTATTAAAATGCCAAGCTAGACTCAAAAACAGGGAAAAAAGAAACGCCAGTTCCAATTATTTTATGGCTCCTACACAAGCCAAAAAAGGAAACAAATTGGCCAGAGTCCCACCTTGGTGTAGGACAAATCCTGCTACATCGGGTCACAACTATATAAATTTTTAAACACAGTCAAATGACATCCTTGGAACACTACGCCACAAAGCTGCAATGTCAAGGTGGAATTGGACCAGTTTATCGGAACAGAGAAGGGTTTGCCAGGGAACCCTTACAGGGTGCCCACCTGATCTCGCAAGTGCATAGTGCACTAAATCCATCAGATTTCATATTTAAAATAAATTTAAGGTAAATTTAATTTAAGATTTATATTAAAGATACAGTAAGATGATCTACCTCGGCAGACTTCCTCTCTTGCTTTTCATTTCCTAGTCCCGCAGGCTCAAATGAAAATCGATCCTCTATGTGCGTGTTTCCTTGGGAAGGCCTGGCAGGCTGAGGAACACGAAGAGCATGGAACGCTTGAGAAGCATCAGAGGGAAGCACAAAAGGGGCAGCCAGCAGGCGTGCAG